CCCTAAGTTCATTGCTCTTCTGCTCCAGGCCTCAGGAATCTCCAAGGAGCCCCCACTGTAGCCTGGTGCCCTTCACTTGCCCTCTGCCCTCCCTTCCTTGGACAGGCCAGGCTGAGCAGGGAAACCGGCAGCATCCCACAGAGACTATGGCTCTGACACTAAAATGCAGAGTGACTCTGGGCAGGTCCCTGGGTCTCTCTGGCTTCTGACATCTCTTTCAGTTGTGAGTGATGGAAACTCAACCTCATGTCATCTCAGCAAAGAAAAGAAATCTGTTGACCATAAAGACCAGAGAGGGTGGCCTTCAGGCAAGGCTGGATCCAGGACTGAACCAATGTCTTCAGCAATGTGTCTCCATCTTGGTTTTAACTTTTACTGTATCACTTTTTCTTCCAAGGCAACCCTTTCCCCATGGTGTCCATGAGGGGTTCTAGAAGCTTCGGAAATCTCATCTTTTCCCCAGACCTTTCATAAGTAGCCCATCATTCACTATAATTGTCCTGTCATGGGTCATAGGACCAATTCTTCACCTACTCACTGTAACTCTGATTGTCCAGTCTTGGCAGGTGTGGGGCTTCCAGAGCTATTCTTTCTGGGAACAAAGGAGTTTGATGATAAGAACTCAGGCCCTGGATTCAGACAGACCAAAGCTCAGGTCTCAGGCGTGCCCATGACTACCTTGGAGGTTGTGGGTGAGGGGCTTCGTCATTCAGAGTGTTAGTTTCTCTATCTGGAAAATGGGATGATAGACAGCCCAGGTGAACTGGCATTTACGATCTCTCTTAGTTCATCTGTTGCTGTAACTGAGTAGCTGAGACTAGGTGATTTATGAAGAAAAGAAATTTATACTCACAATTCTGGAGGCTGGGAAGTTCGAGGTTGAGCTGTTCTATCTGCTCAGCTTCTAGCGAGTGCCTTGTGCTGTGTCAGAGCATGGCAGAAGGCACCGCAGGGCAGGGGACTGAGTGTGCTCGCTCAGGTCTGCCTTCCTCTTCTTATAAAGCCACCAATCCCACTCCTGTGACATCCCATTAATCCATTAACCCATTAGTAGATTAATTTATTAACCCCTCAATGGATGAGTGTGTTCAGGAGGGCAGACCCGACAGGATCCAGTCGCCTCTTGAAGGCCCCATCTCTCAGTTCCGCCACGTGGGGATTCCACGTTCAACGTGAGTTTCCGAGGGGCAGACATTCAAACCACAACAGGATCCAAACGGGGAATGGCTTTTCCTGTCCTTTCACTGAGGCTCCTGGTTGCTGCGTTTGAGAATGGCGGGGGGATGCCAAGGCGGAGGCTCAGCGCAGAGGTTGATGAGACGCGGGACGGACTCCCCAGGGCTCGGGGCTGTGTCTCTACCTCACAGATCCTTCTCCCTGGCAGCCTGGAAGACTGTGAATTGGGTTCTGTCTGCTCTTCTCCAGACTCGGGGCTTGCAGGATGGTCTCCTGTACACGCAGGGCCTGGCCAGCACCTCTGGGGATGTCGCTGCCAGCGGTTGAGGCCGTGGGACGTGGTCGTCCGCATCCTCCACCCACCTGCATCAAGCCCGTGCTCTTTGCTCAGACGGACAGTGCATTGGCCACAGCTCGCCCACTGCTGCGGTCTCTGTGCTGCCTCCAGCTGGTCTGGGGACCCGAGTCCAGACAGGAGGGGCTGCGGCGGTGGAGAAGACACTGCCTCTGTCTCCCCTGGACTCATCTGTCTGACCTCTGTCTGACCTCTGGTCCTGTTTGCTCATGTCTGAGCATGTCTGTTTGGCATCTGCTGTATGGACACATCTTGTCATGTGTATATTTACACCTGGGTCCAGATGGCACCTGGTCCCTGTTACACCTGGTTACACCTGGTTTACACCTGGAATCATGGCGATCACCAGGTCTGGGGCTCAGCTGTAGCCAAGGTCACTTGGAACATGGTGGGGCCTATCTGGTTCTTGTCTGAAGTGTTTGAGA